GACCTAACGACCTAACAGTGTTCTCAACGACGTTAAGCTCGATCCTCAAGAGATAAGATCTGGGGGGTCGATTCTGTAACTGTGGTACAGCTGGGATAGTCAACGCGATGCTATAAACGCTTTAAAGCATTTTTGATTAGTCAGTTTGTAAAATTCTTTCTTCTAATTGGTCTATCAAATGCTTCAAAGTACAATATTTGTAGCGAGACTTTGTGATACTCACTTAATGACCGCAGCCTGAATTTATCAACAGTTTTCGAAATCTTACCCATTTTTTTGCGTCGATGGCTTTGCATTTTGGCTCCGGAACTCAAATTGGACAGGCCTACTGCTCTAGATCATCTAATGAGACCTTTAATTCTAGGAAATACATAAAAGAATATTTGGCTTAAAAATACAACTGATTCATTTTCTGTGCACGTATCCTATACGACTATATTTTGTCTGAATAAACTTTAATTGGCTTATTTTTTATTTTAGCTAAACTTTTTGCATGATTTATCTTTTCTCTTTTTCTTTTCACTTTAGAGAGAAAAAGAAAAAAGGTAAACTATTCAAAAAATTCAAAAATTTCTAAAAAGAATAAATTATTTGTGTATACACTGCATAATACATAAGGTTATTTGTGAATAGATCTTTATGCTATATTATCTGAAGTAAAGTGCAAACGCAAATAAAATGAACAAACTTTACGAACATAACCTCACTATAATTTAGATCTGACTCTGAACAGCTGAGTACTTAGCAGAAGCTGACAAATCTGAAGAATGACAGAAGTTTATGTATATATCGTGTTTACATTATAAATATTAATTTTGCATCAACAATCTAATGGCAATTTTTTTTATAAAAAAGAAAGAGGAGTGTTATTTTAATAAGGATTTTAATGAGAATTTCTAATTATATGCAAGTTGAGATAAATATCTGTACATGAAAATTTTTTTCATATGTCAGATATATCCTGTGCTGATATTTGAAATTATTACATGGAAGATTTATGTACTTGAATGTATGAGATTTTTATAGAACAATATATTTTTCAATATCTTGTGGGAAGAAAGAGAAAGAAATGGTATTACCAGCACGTATATCACATAAAGCCAACAGAGTTTCATACCATTATCACAATATCTTTGTGATATGTTTATTGTCATTTACATTATTCATTGTATTAATCTCAGTGTATTATATTTTTAAATTTGGTAATACACAAAAACATTCCGAACATATTCCTATAACTCTAAATGATATAAATACATTGCCCATTCAAACATTACCTGTTGACTCAAGTACTGCAGATGCAACCAATTCTTCCTGTACATATTTCACTTGTTTCAATGTTTACCGATGTGGCAGCCAGGGGAATAAACTTCTGGTATATGTCTATCCACTCAAGATATATTTAGACTCTATGGGTAGATCAATAACTGGACAGATGACGAAAGAATTCTATCAAGTTGTGAATGCTATTATCAGCAGTAAATTTTACACTCCTAATCCATACGAAGCTTGTATTTTTATTCCTTCCATCGATACTCTCAATCAGAATAGATTGAGATTGCAAGAAGTCTCTCAGGCATTAAGAACATTACCTTTCTGGAACAAAGGAGAGAATCATTTAATCTTTAACATGGTACCTGGCACTGTACCAGATTATAACACTATCATTGATGTACCAATAGGAAGAGCAATGATTGCAGGTGCTGGAATGTCATCATTGACATACAGACCTAGTTTTGACATTAGTTTACCAGTGTACAGTCCACTTGTAAATAATCTGAAAACGAATCATAGTAACATGAGGTAATGTCTGTCATTGTTATTTTTCACAGTTTTTATACACACGTATGTAATTATTTTGCATTTTAGAATATGGTTAGTAATGTCTTCACAAATCAACATTAATAATGCTTTTGAACAAGATTTAATGGAAATAAAAACGACATATCCAAAAGACATTTTGGTGCTAGGTCCATGTTTGCATTTTAATCCAATGAATAATACAATACGTTGTGTAGGAGAAGATATATACAAGTATCCCGATAGTCTGCAAGTAATACAATCATATTTGTATATATGCAAAATATTTTTATTAATATATGATTAAAAATATTTTCTATTTTTTTTTAGACATCGACATTTTGTTTGATAATCCGTGGTGCTAGGCTTGCTCAAAGTGCGCTTTTGGATGCAATGGCTGCAGGTTGTATACCTGTAATTATAGCTGATTCTCTAATGATGCCATTTCATGATGTAATCGACTGGACCAAGTAAGATGCACTCGTAAATTAATATTTGTTACACTACTTTTCAATATATAATTTATTTCATTTATAATTTTCTCTTATTATCAGGGCTGCTGTTTTTATACGCGAAGTTGACATTTTATTAACAATACAACTGCTAAAAAAGATATCTCCTCAACGTATTATGGACATGCAAGAACAAAATGCATGGCTTTACAATCGTTATTTTAATTCAATAGAGAAGATTACCGAAACTACATTAGAAATACTTGCAGATCGTGTATTTCCACATTTAACACGAGATTACACATATTGGAATGTACCATCCTATAAGGTGGATAATTACTAAAACAAGAAAACTTAATCTTTCGCGAAGCAAATTATTTCTCAAGCAAATTATTTCTTTTTTAGGGAAAGCCTTCACCACTTTTTTTGCCAGTAACTGCTCCTAAAACGCGTGGCTTCACTGCCGTAATATTAACGTATGATAGATTGGAATTATTGTTCTTATTAATTAATAAACTTGTGAAGGTACCGAGCTTATCCAAAGTTCTAGTAATTTGGAATAATCAACATAAAGATCCACCACACTGTAAGAACACATTTTAACATCTTGATTTGCTAAGCTTCAAATAAATTATATGTTAATTTAATGTTACAGCTACTAGGTGGCCAAAAGTTAGTAAGCCATTAAAAGTAATACAAACGAAAGAAAATAAATTGTCTAATCGATTTTATCCGTATGATGAGATTGAAACTGAAGCAGTATTATCAATAGATGATGATATTATTATGTTGACTGCTGATGAAGTAGAATTTGCTTATGAGGTATACTTGAAATAATTATGTAATCACAAAAATAAATACATATATATATATATATATATATATGTATATTTATATTATATTTCTAATACTAATTGAACGAAAATATATATTAATAAAACATATATAAACTTTCAGGTATGGAGAGAATTTCCAGATAGAATCGTTGGATTTCCATCTCGCTTACACATGTGGGATAATGGTACTAATTGTTGGAAGTATGAAAGTGAATGGACGAACAGTATTTCCATGGTATTAACAGGGGCAGCTTTTCATCATAAAGTAAGCGCTACGAACGTTTATGTTGTTCTTTACTCAAAAAATTAGACGCTTTATTGTTTTACACCTAATAACATTTTTATTTAATATTTCAGACCATGCACATTATTATAAAAATCCTTGGATTTTATTTTTTTCAAAATACTAACATCCTCTCCTGTTATCCTCACCAAGAATGTATAAGTTAATTCAACAAAGTAAATTATACCATTTTTTGTACGAATATTGGAATTATACAGTTCGTACAAAACTTTAAAGGTCACTTTAACAACAAATCTTTCTTAATATATTTTTCAGTATTGGAATTATATGTATACTACAGCTATGCCTGGAGACATAAAGGAATGGGTCGATGAACACATGAATTGCGAGGACATCGCAATGAATTTTTTGGTAGCGAATATTACTGGAAAAGCTCCGTTAAAGGTAAGACTTTTGACAAAATGTATTGGTATTATCTAAAAATTGTATAAAATCTTATAGGTGACACCAAAGAAAAAATTCCGATGTCCCGAGTGTACCAATACTGAAATGCTATCCGCAGATTTGACGCATATGGTGGAACGAACACAGTGTATAAACAAATTTTCTTCTATTTATGGAACTATGCCGCTAGAATCAATTGAATTTCGTGCAGATCCGGTACTCTTTAAAGATGTGTTTCCAGAGAAATTAAAACGATTTAATGATATAGGCAGTTTATAAAAAAAAATTGTGTATAATATTTCAAAGTAATCATGGAAGTTAATTTAATATAAATTAAAATAATACGATTCCAGAGATCGGAAATTTTCTTCTATTAAAAAGTAAGAAAAAAACTAGTTTATCAAGAATGTACATATTTATTAATTAAAATGTATTTGGGTTCGTTGTTAATAGTAATCATTGTATTTATATAAGTTGACTATAAAATATACAATAAAATATATAGTAATATAAAAGTTAGGAAAATTTGTTTACTGTACAAAGTTGTGATTATGGAAAATGATTCAATATGGCAGCATTTATATATTTCATGAAATTAATGATTTTATATAAAAATTTTTTGTATATAGAGTATCTTAGATTATAAATAATTTCTTATAAAAGCTTATTACATTTAAAATTACATATATAATTGAAGGATTTTCCACAAAAATCAAATAACTTCATTTTTTTATCTCTGGCATCAAATCAGTCTCTATTAGTCGCATTGTGAACCATTTTATTCCATTAAGTAATAAATTATCTTATAAAAAAAAAGAAAAAAAACAAACCAGTAAATATAAGAATTTAATAGTTGCAAAAAATACTTTTGTTAAGAGTAATTTGTAAAATTTTGTAAATAAAAGAATAAATTATTACTTTATACTTTAAATAATGTATTCTTCTTCACCTTTATTATCATTAATGTTATAAAAAAGATACATGTAAAATATAGGATAAATATAAAGTAATATAAATAGAAAGTAAATAAAATTTTCGCAAGAATCAAACAAATTCAGAAAATTTCTATTTCTTTTAAATAAATTTTCAAGATATTAATCAAAATCCAAAAATTTGTTTTCATATCTTAATAGTTTTAAGTTTTATTTAATATTTTAATTATGTTTGAAGAAAAATATAACATTATTAATTATTACATATTTATATAATAGTTTCAAGATAAGTTTTTGTTTTCTGAAAATTCAACTTTTTGTTTGATTTTTGTGAAAAATCCTTTCATTGATACAATTATTCTCAGACTTTATCGAATCCCGCTAATTTAAAGCACACTCCTTCAACAATAGCTTTCTTACCTACTTCATGTGATGGTAAGGCCGACATGTAACTCTGTAAACAAAAAATTAATTTTTTTAACAAATCAAACTCGTATCTTAATATATAGATATTCTAATAAACTATGTAATAAATACTGTCACATATATGAAAATATTAATATTATTCATTTCCTTTGTGATTTTATTTTATAATGATATCACATAAATACATATGGTATAAGACTAAAAAATCGGTACATGTTAGGAATTTTCTAGCTTCGAGTTTGGATTTAGTACGATATCAATATCCTATATATATATAAAATTTTAATGTCCAATACAATGAATTTATCGCAGGCTAGTATAATTATTAAAAAATTTTATAATTGATCCTTACAAATAAAGATATCATATATTTGTAATATATATATTTTATGATATTAAGCAAAAAAAAAATAATACGTACCATTGATGCACGTTCACATGTATTCATATAACCTATTATCATAGAATTTGTGGAATGGCTCCAGAGAAAATCGCCTAAGCCTTCTTGTGGAGAATATCGTATTGCGATGACACCACCAAGTTTTTGTTCAAGTCCACAGAGAAATTTCGAATCTAAAGAGAAAGTATAAACAGATTGTCATTGCTTTTATTAATCACCACGCAATGCATTATGCTAAATCTGCGGCACACCGATGAAATCTGTGCTCATCGCACGATGCAAACTTGTAGTTGGACAAGATGTATCTGAAATAGCTTCTGCGATTGTACGCGCTAATGAGGTGCGCACAAGATGCTCTCCACAACCTGAAGTACTAGTGCCTACTGAATACGAAGTATCTTTGCAAGCCCAGGTACCACAGCCCCATACTCCAGCCTACAATTAGAATAAAAAGGTAAAAAACCTACGATAATGTATAATAAAATTTATATTAAAAAATTAATTATATAAATATTGATATGATAAAGAAATTATACTTGTCCAACTCTTCCTGGATATTTTAAAATTATACCACCACTCGAGCAAGCTGCAGCTATATTTCCACTGTTATCGACACATATTGCTCCTACTGTGTCCATCCTTTTCTTAGCACACTACAGCATAATAATTGAATAATAAATTTTACTTAAAATAACATTAAAATATAAATGAGAACTTCTTCATACCTTTTGAACCTCTGTACTGCAGCTTTCTAATTTTCTTTTATAATGCTTATATATCTTTTGAGCTTTCACTGAAATATATTAGATAAATAAATAATATACATAAAAAATAAATGTTACAATTTATATAATTATAAATCAATTTCTGTGATTTGTTAAAAACTTATGCTAATTTTATATACCTGATATTAATTGTTCTGGAGGTAAAATTTGTATGCCCATCTCGTGTGCCCAAATATGTGCACCATTTCCAACTAAAAAACTAATAGAAAAAAAAATTAATATAACAATAATCTTAATATAATTGTAAACATATTAAAACTAAAATAACACCTAGGAGGAATTCTGCCATATGCAAACTTAATGGACTGCTGCTCACACAAGCGCTTTGCCAACAACACAGGATTTTTTATTCCGCTAACTGCGCCAACTGCACCATATTGCAAACTGCTACCATCCATTACACTTGCGTCGCACTCCACTGTACCATTCAACGTAAGATTTGATCCGAATCCAGCATTTGTCAGAGGAGAATCTTCCAATATCATTACTGCTTCGACCACTGCATCTAATACATTGCCATTAGACTTCAAACTTTGAGTTCCCTGACAGAACAAACAGTCGTAAGAAAAATATAGAATTTCGAGAAAATTAAACCTGTATTATAGCTCATTAAATTGCTTGAAAATCTTACCACTTTGCATGCATCACGACATAGTTTTTGATACTTTTCTTTGAGTGACGCCGAGTGCTGCCCAGCACCTATCAAAAAAATGATAAGTTATAATAATTTATGTACAAATATTAATTATAAATGGTCTAAATAATTACGTACCAACATGTACAGCAATAAATCCTTCCTTATTATTACTCATGAGATCGAATCTTGTTTTTCTAGTGTATTTCTCTTGAAGTACAAAACTCTTTACGCTACAAGAATATTGAGACGAATAAAATAAAAAAATCAACCTAATGAACCATTTATCATTATAAACAATAGAAAAATTTAGAAATATACTTCAAATACAGCAAATCGTAACGTGATTCAAGTACTACTTTATTTAAATAAAACTTATAGCGATATAATAAAAAGACATCGGTATCTTAAAAAAATCTTTTATAAGTATAATCAATTATAATTACATTATTCTTACAAAATTCTGAAGTTTTATAGTTACAATATATTATCGCATCTTATTTTCAATATAAGAATTGTTTATCATAAATGTGTACGAGTCGAAATGAAAACAACAAAGTAAAACTTTATTGTGTAAAACCATGTGAGATCAGAGACCACGCAAGACTCTGCAATACTTTCTGATACTCTCTGAGGACTGCGATGGAGTTGGATGGAATATGACCTGTATGAACTTGGACTGCGAATCACGGCGAATACACAAAAGTGCGAAATCGAATCAAGTATATATTAAAAGGTTTGTTCGCGTCGCAACATGCTCCAACATGCTCCTATTTCCTCCAACCGTAATTTCTACTCATTCAAACGCGCTCGTTTATTAGAGTGAGTAGGAGCTATGGTAGAATTAGGATTAGTAGAAACACGTTGAAGCATGTGGAGTATGTGACGCGAACAAACCTTAAGGTACCTTTTCATGCTGACGCTCGATGCTCGATTTTTAGCGTCAAAATAGGTCACATGATTAATCGACGCTTAATATTCGTTAATTTTTATCATGTGATCTGTTTTGACGCTGAAAATGAGCGATCGAGCATCAGCATGAAAAAGCACTTTAAGGAACAAAAAATAATGATTTTAACTCATCAAAAATTGTATGTCGATGTATTCAATTTCTAATAGATTAAAATCGTTTATTTTTTGTTTCTAATTCTTTATTCCAAATTCTTTATTCCTTCTATTGTGCGCAGGACCTTACAAAAAAATCAAGAATAATTCATTAATCATTTGCTACTTTCGCAAAGTAACGGAATAATTTTTTTTTATTCGAAATTCAGCTTTTCCCTCGTTTTGTTCCGAAATTCATCAAATTAGATCTGTCACGTGGTTAGAAAGTGAAAGAGGACGCTCGAGTAGTCTCGGGGGAAAAAAAAAGAATGCGCGGGAGTGGTCAGCCTGCTCCAACCTCAAGTATTGCAACCTTGCAAAATATAGTCAAGTATAGTGCCGAGCGAGATGTGCAGGGAATAAGAAAATACGCCATCGCTGGGTTATGTGATATTGCCAAATTAAACGGTTCATGGATGACAAATCTTACGTTTGAGAGGCAGGATAAAAAAATTTCGGCCGGGTTTAGGGTTAAGCGCCTGCTGTGGCACATACGGCGAATTCAACGCAATTCTCGAGAGTAAGCATCAACCGGAACGGGTGTCGCATGCCGCGCAATGAGGTTAATTTTACGTCACGCCGATGCGTATACATTTGCATAATTGAAAATTTATAATGAATTCGACTGCTGTGCTATTCCGCACTGGTACTTTCTAGACTTTTAAACATGAAAAAACATTTAAATTCAAGAGTGTATAGCAAAAACTTCTTGATCGATGAAATGTCGCAATGTATATTTCGTTAAAATGCAATGACATTCACGTCGGATGCCTTTTTCGATCAAAATATATGTTTTTGCTATGTTTTTATTATTAAGCTTATGTTTAAGATTGTGTAGCTGAATTTTTTTCTGTAGTATATTTCTATAGTATTTTTTTCTATAGTATTTTCTATTCTTTCTCTTTTTTTCTCCAATGCAAAATTGTGTGTTTTTCAGTCATATTTTACTTTAATTATAAGTTATTTTTATTGTGTATCAGTACAGAATAGTGCAAGCAAATTATTTCAATTGGTAATGATTTTGTATGGTACATAATTATATTAGTTATATTATAAGTTTATTATATAGTTTCTACTTTTGTGATATTTACTTTATATCAATGAGTACATAATAATCAATGAATACATATAAGAATTTATTTTTTAATTTTTTAGATTGACCTACATTAATACTATATGTTGAATGGACAATAATAAGACCAGGATATATACATGTATTAACCATGTCCATAATATTTGATTTTCTGAAGAAGATCTTCGGATGGGTAGATGAAGGTTCTAAGAAACGGAAAGCTGAAGACTGTAACTTTGAAGAAGAATATATAGCATCCAAGAGATTTAAATCCAATTGTAATATAGCTCGTACAATGGAACAGTATTTTACCATTGATGACAGTGATGATGACGATATTATATACATGGGTGAGCAGAAATGTTCATCGATAAAACTGTGCGCACAGAACGGTACTCATAAGAAGCAACCACAATCTTTCGAATATTACAAAACTCCCACTTGTAAGTCTACTTGCTTTATGCTGCATCACAATAAACCGACCACGGAACACTTTTTCCATCACAAACATAGGATGCCAGATATCTATCACAAGTCTCCCACATTATCCAAAACTAATCAATTAAAAGAGAAATATCAATATGAAGAAATGCTCCAAAATCTGTTTCCAAATAGGATACAGGTATTTACAGATAAACCTGCGTGCAAATCCGTAGAAGTTATTGACTTAGAAAAGCAATCAGAAATCATAACATCCAGCAAGATTCAATCATCTAACTTGTCTAAGATACCAACGTCATATCATAATAGAGTTTGCATGTCAAACTATTCTAGGACAGATAAAGAAAAAGTTCCTACTTTAAATTACAGCAAGAAAGGTATCACGGCATATCAGCAATCCAACAAAGTAATTACGATTGATAGACCTAGTACCAGTGGATTAGTGAAAACTACGCCAAAGTTACCTGTCGAAGTTGTTGCAACTAATTCATTGCGTGACGAGCTAGCTGCGAAACCTATCATGAGACAAGACTTCATCCCGCAAGTTACTAAGAGATACAACGAACGGATTGAACAACGGCACAGAGAGGCTGAAGAATTGAAGAAGATGACATGCGTCTTGTCGAAGCACAATAGGTATGCACGAGAAGCAGCTCTGGAAGAACAATTGGCACGTTCTATGAAATTATACCTGGCTGTCCTAGATGATAGAGAGGAACAGGAAGAGCCAGCGTTGCCAACGTTGACCAATGAGATGTTGAAAGAAGTGAGAAGCGCCATTATACCATGTCCTCCAGGCGAGGTTCTTGCAGAAGGTTTTGGTCTAAGGCTCACCCGAAAAGATCTTTGCACGCTAGCCAACTTAAATTGGCTAAACGATGAAGTAATAAACTTTTACATGAATCTATTAATTGCTAGAGGCACGTCTTCCGACAAGTATCTAAAGGTGCACGCAATGAATACATTTTTTTATCCAAAACTTCTATCGGGTGGTCACTCATCTCTGAAGCGATGGACTAGAAAAGTAGACATATTCGCGCAGAATCTTGTAGTCGTGCCGATACATCTGGACATTCACTGGTGTATGTCAATAATAGATTTCAGGAATAAATCGATTGTTTATTATGACAGTATGGGCGGTAGTAACCCAAAATGTTTAGCGACACTAAAACAATATTTACAGGATGAGAGTTTAGACAAAAAGAAACAATCTTATGATATGAGCGACTGGAAATTACAATCAGCCAAGAACATTCCACAACAGATGAACGGCAGCGATTGTGGCGTATTCTCTTGTATGTTTGCCGAATATGCCTGCGCAAATAAGAAGATAACGTTTACACAGGATGATATGCCGTACTTTAGGAACAAAATGGTTTATGAGATATTGAAGGGTAAACTTTTGTAAGAAGAAGCATCAATTACTGCTTCGATAAATTAAAAAATGGCCAATGTTAATGAGAAGCTTCAAACTAATGGTAAAGCTATATTGTAATAAAACTCAAGCAGTTTAATGCATTGAAGAATTCTTCACGTGCTCTGTCCTCGCAGGACGTTGGCAATCAGCAGCATGACTCTGTCTACCACTGTTCTAAAGAGAGACGTGGTACTAAGTCCAAACCACTGTCGGAGATTCTTCATTGGAGAAAATTTGTTTGGAAAATAACACAAATATCACCTATTATTCTTGGAAAAAAAAAAAGAATAGAAGAAACTTTTTTAATGTCTTTTCTGCGATCAATTGTGTGCTTTATCATTAAAAATAATGAAAAATCTCTCAATTTAATTTCTTAAAAGTATATTTCTGTTTTAAGACTCAATGTGAGAGAAGAAAGAGACATGTGCGTTTATCTTGTATAATAATTAAAATTGCTTTGGATAAAGTGTAAACAAATTAATATAGATATACATGTGCTATACATAGATATGAAAATGTTTTTCCGCTGTACAAGTAAGACGGTAATATATAATTTCATCGTTTTTAACAAATTGTGGATAAAAGGATTGCAATATTTTTGTTCTTCGACGAGTTTTAGATTGCATAAAAGTTATAAAGATGTTCTTACGAGTTCTGTAAAAAACGAAATTAAAAAAAGAAAGACAATTCTTTTGTCCACAACTGTACAGCCACATTATTTTCAGTTTGACTGTCTTGTATATTTTTTATTTGGAATTAATTTATGTATAAAACTAAAATTGAAGTAATTACTGCTGATATTTTGTTCATGATGCATATTAATACAACAAAAGCGTATCGATTTAATCAGCTTGAATACAACTTTCAAATAAATAACTTCAATGAATATTTGACAAAGATATTACATTATTTTTATTCCTCAAATTATTATTCATACAACTAATTATTATAGTATAGTGTCAAATATAAGATATTTAATCTAATTTTTTAATCGTGAAATATTTTATAAATAAATATTTTTCTATCTTCTTTTTCTGCCTTTAAGATGCAATTGCCTGTTTCTTTCATTTCATTGATATCATATATAGATACACATATACAAGGTGCGTCCCAAAATTTTCCGAACTTTTGAAATAAAACAACAACGGTTTACTTTTTTTTTCAAATTCAAATTGTTTATTCAAAGTAGTCCCCGTCGGACTCAATACAACGTTTGGCACGATCTAAAAGCATTTCAAATGAGTGTTTTATGTCGTTCAAAGGCACGTCCTTCAGAATAGTGGTACAAGTCCTTTGGATGTCTTCTACGTCCACATACCGCTTTCCTTTCATGGACAAATGCATTTTGCCGAATAGGTAGAAGTCACAAGGTGCCATATCAGGCGAATACGGGGAATGGTTGATTGTTAAAATGTGATTTTTAGTCAAAAAATCAGTGACAAGTGTCGAACGGTGAGATGGCGCATTATCGTGTAACAAGCGCCAACTTCCTCCTTCGCGATATTCTGGCCGAATACGACGAATGCGGTGCACCAAACGCTTCAAAACGCTTACATAGAATACAGCATTAACTGTTTGGCCTGCTGGAACGAATTCTTTGTGCACAATACCCTTGGAATCATAAAAACAAATGAGCATTGTCTTCACTTTTGACTTCTCTAAACGCGATTTTTTGGGTTTTGGGTCGTTTCGCGCCTTCCATTCCGCGCTTTGACGCTTGGTTTCTGGATCGTATTGAAAACACCACGTCTCGCCACCAGTAACAATGCTATAAAGGAAGTTTTGGTCCTTTTTTGCTTCCTTAATAATGTCCTTTGAATGTTGAATTCGATGCATTTTTTGGTCGTCAGTCAACTTGTGTGGAACAAATCGTGCACAGACTTTTTGTAGGCCCAAATGTTCGGTCAAAATGCGATAAATCGTTGATTTGGGGATGTTCAATTCCATTTCCATGTATCTCACTGAAGATTTTGGCTCATGCTTGATGAAATTACGCACAACTTCGATGGAATTTTCGTTAATTGTCGATTTTGGGCGACCTGTATGTGCGTCGTCATTTATGTTCTCACGACCGTTCTTGAATCGCGTATACCACTCATAAACACTGGTACGGGCTACACAATTATCACCATAAACTTGTTTCATCAAATTATGGGTTTCGGTAAATGTTTTACCAAGTATAAAACAAAACTTAATATTGGCTCTTTGTTCGAAGTTCATTCTCGTACCGATGTATACAACATACTGACACTTGAGACGCCATAACTTCGTTTCCACTGAACCAAATGTCATGAAATTTTTACTGGAAGTCAGCTAGGGATGTACCTTTCAAATGCGCAATCGAACACACGGATGGCGCGACCTATCCCTATTGAAAAAGTTCGGAAAATTTTGGGACGCACCTTGTATGTATACATTCTTAAAGAAAAAATGTGTATATAAAATAATTAATAATAAATATTCATTGTATTGTTATTTAATTGAGTTCTAAAACAAATCACAATATTGAAATACATAATTTAAAATATAACTTAATTTTTTTTTAATTTTCTTTATTTTTTCTAAATTTTTATAAAACATACATAACAATATAAAAGAAAAATTATGAAAAAGTTCATGCATATAAGAATCGATGTTATATAATATGCATTTTTAAATGTTATTTAAAAATTATTTTTTATAACGTGTGTTCATTTTTTACTTTGACATGCTTTGTATTCAAAAGTCAATTAAACGTGTCATTAAAAAAAAAAGAAGAAAAAGATAAGGATAAAAAATGCAGCTGAAAGAAATAGATCTAAAGTAGAGATCATGGTAGGCTGTAGCAAAAGAAAAATGATGTAAATGTAAGTATATATATATATATAATTATATATGCATATTATCTTTACACTTACAATTTGTGGACGTAGCATGTTGCTCCACATATAAATAATTGATTTAGCACGGACTCGCATCACATTATATTATTTCGACACTACTTTATCAGCAATGTCGATAATATATGTAGTCACATCACAGTTAAAGGCCGGAAAGGTCGCTTCGGTCGCTCTCAGGTTTCTGAGTTTTTCTCTGTTTTTTCAATAACGTGATGACATTTCGCTGGAGCTTCGAAAGTTCTGTCAAAGTGTTGCTTGTATTTACATGTTCTGCAATTGACGCGAGTACAAAACACTAGGCGTTAATTTATTTTATATAAAATAAAGTTGCATAAATTAGATTTATTATAATTGTATTCGGAAATATCCGAAACATGACATAAGATATTCGTGAACATTTGAAATCATTTAACCCTATATTCTGTAGTAGCCGAATATTGTATGTCAAATTAAATAAAATGAGTTCGTGCAGCGTGATTACGTCTGATTTTGTAAATTTGTCAATCACAAATTCTGGTCAAGAATCATGTTGTGTAGAACGTCGATTTCAAAAGGGTATAACCGTCCATGAATTTAAGGTAAGCAAAGCACTGCTTGCTTTCCAAAATTTTCTTCTGCATAGAAATTTACAAGACAATATTATAGGGCAAATTGGAACTTCTTACTGGTGGTAACCCAGTTACAATGACTATTGAAGTTTATGACAAGAACGACAAGCTCATTTGCAGATTGGAGGAAGAACAACGCCTTTTGGGGTCATATCCAATAGATGATGGAATGAGGATACATGTAAATATATATAATACAAATACTTATATTACAATATGACAGAAATCATCAATATGAAATCAATAATATGAAAGTTTTATCTTACTAAAGTCTTACTGAGACTACTTCAAGTATTTATAAGCACAAAATTGTGAGATTGCAAATGAAATGTAAGGAAATTGCAGGTTATTGATAATTTCTCATGTACCACAGAAGATTTAAATCATGTGAAAAAGTTTGAGATATCTGAGGAAGAGTATGCCAAAAAAACAGGTGAGACTTTTATATTTATCTTATATCAAATTAAATGATGAATGAAACGTATTTTATTTATGCTTGAACAGACACTGTTAAGGCGTTCCTAGAAAGGAATAAATTAGGAAAGTATAATGAGGAAGATATGAAAAGAAGAGCAGAAGAGAAGAAACTGGAAGAAGAAGCAGAGGAATGCTTAGCTAGTTTATGCAAAGTTGGAGACCGTTGCGAAGTATCTGTTCCAAATCAGCCAAAGCGAAGAGCTACTATTTTATATGTTGGTCAGAATCTTAATATATTTGTAATTGTATTTTTACTAAAAATATTTTTATTATTTTAATATATAAATGTTATAGGTAAAACTGAATTTAAGGAAGGCTGGTGGATTGGTGTTAAATATGATGAACCTCTTGGCAAGAATGATGGGAGGTAAATATATTTAATCTCATTTAATTACGATACCTGAATATATTTTTCTTCCCTTACACTTATCATGTTGTTGATATCGTAGTGTCGGTGGAAAAAAATATTTTGAATGTGCTGCAAAATATGGAGGCTTTGTGAAGCCAGCGCACGTAAAAGTTGGAGATTTTCCAGAGGAGGACTTCAACCTTGACGAAGAACTGTAAAACGCCATAATTATTTCACTTTATTTTATCTCTTCTCTATTAACTTTTTTTCTATTAGCAATTTGAAAACTCAAAATAGTGCTTTATATACAATAATTTTTAAATTAAATATAGCTCACATAAATTAAAATTTTGTGTTCTTTTATAATACTTTATCGTCTGATTGCCAGCCAATGAGATGTGTTTCTTTAACCATCATAAATAATATAGAAATCATAAATAATATAGAATAGTGCGACGTTTGAAAAAACAATAATTGCCGAATAATATCCATATATAATTATCAGATAATAGATGCACATAATATAATGCGTATCTATTATCTGTACAATGTTGTTTTCATCTTCTTTATGTACTTTTATGATTTTAATCACACTAATCACACGGATATTACTTATCTAATATAATGTTGAACATTTTGATATTAAACAAATTGAAGCATTTGAAAATTATAGCTTTTCAATCCTAAAGACTAGTATCATTATCTAGCTATGTTAAACAAATAGACTGAAATCCTTATTATATAGTATTTATCCTTATTATATAGTATTTATAATTAGGTAATTAATCATAGTATTATACGATCACAAATTTGAATTGCTTTTTTTGTACATTTCCTGGAATAATATAATAAAATATATACAAAATATTTATATACAAATTTATTATGTATAAGTGCATTATGTAATTTAAAATTACATTAAAGATAGCTTTGAATTACTACGCTATCATTTCTTGTATATAGAGTATCGCTTGTGAAATATTTGTTTACGTGAATATTTATAACAAAAAAATGATTAGACCGAAATAATTAAAACAAGACAACGGCAAAATATAATGAGAGTTCATACTGGGCGCGGTTGCGTTCGATAACAGAATATGACTGCGTTCGAAAATATCATCCGAGTACTTCCGCGTATTATTTTATCCTTGTTGTTTACCCATTGTTAAACAAGGATAAGATGATAGACAGAGACACCGAGTGATGTTTCCAAATGCAGCCTATATGCGTTTTGGAACACGCATGCTGATAACCTTTTAGGTTAGGATTTTTATCTAGGAAAAAAATTTTTTTTATCAAGTTGTCCAAATTGCCTCGCAAAGTGCAAACAAATTTCGTCTTTGTACAATATTTTCAATTCAATGTAATAGGTATGCGCTAAGAAGTGTAAAAAGGAGAAAGATCTTGATAATTTTTGAAGGAAATGTAATCAACTTTTGATATGTTTACATTAATCTGCTCATTAATTCTCAACTGTGATCTGTGTGCTTATAATAATTGTTTTATTCATTGTGCGCTTACGAACCGGTGCTTGGTAACGCTCTTTCGCTAAGCCTAACCTAATCCTCTAATAACTTTTATTTATATTACAACAAGATTATAATTCAGAAAGCAATTAGTTGTGATCTAGATCAACCAACTAACTGATATCTTTTTAAGTAAGTGATATAATGATATCAACATATTTGAGCTGATATTGTCAGTCTCTTTTAAAGAGAAGAGAGGATGCTGTTTTAAAAATAAAAGATATATTGTTAATTTATAGTAAAAAAATATTGAGACACGTATACACATTTGTTTCATAAGCATCCATTTTCTATTTTATGCTTGACAAATATCTTATTGTATGTATATATAAATTCAGGTAGCAAGCTAACATTTGTCATTTTAATATAAAAGTGACATTAAAGATGTCATTTTTGGACATCAAAATAACAACAAATAACATTAGCTTGCTACTTTGGAAGTAATATGATTATTTCATTAAAGTTTTAAATAATGCTATATTTTGTTAATCTTTTCAGAAATGCCGGATATAAAAGTTACACCACTCGGTGCTGGACAGGATGTTGGACGTAGTTGTATCCTTGTCTCCATGGGCGGCAAAAACATCATGCTGGATTGTGGAATGCACATGGGATTCAATGATGAGAGACGCTTCCCAGACTTTTCCTATATAGTTCCAGAGGGACCTGCGACCAATTATATCGACTGTGTCATTATCTCTCATTTTCATTTAGATCATTGCGGTGCTCTTCCATATTTCACAGAGATGGTAACGTAACATCAAGAATTATATTGCAATAATTTTTTTTTTTTATTTTTGTTGTATCTTTTTCAAATTTCTTGCACACCTTCATTTCTTCTCATTTAAAATATACAGGTAGGTTACACTGGACCAATTTATATGACACATCCAACTAAGGCTATTGCACCAATCTTATTAGAAGACATGAGAAAGGTTGCAGTCGAGCGTAAAGGCGAAAGTAACTTTTTCACATCGCAAATGATAAAGGATTGTATGAAGAAGGTTATCGCTGTTACGCTTCATCAATCCGTCATGGTAGATTCAGAATTGGAGATAAAAGCATATTATGCCGGACACGTTCTCGGTGCAGCCATGTTTTGGGTTCGTGTAGGATCACAGTCTATTGTATACACAGGAGACTATAATATGACGCCGGATCGGCATTTAGGTGCTGCGTGGATAGACAAATGCAGGCCAGACTTGTTAATTTCAGAATCGATTTCCTCAAAAAAGTATGTTTTCAATTCATTATTATTTGTAATAATTTAATTTATGTTGAACGATTTTTTTAAGAAGACCGTGTTTTAGGTACACGAATGCATCGACAGAGGCGGAAAGGTGCTGATTCCTGTATTCGCTCTCGGTCGCGCTCAAGAACTGTGCATACTTTTGGAAACGTATTGGGAAAGAATGAATCTAAAAGTACCAGTTTATTTCGCACTTGGTTTAACCGAAAAGGCCAACAATTATTATAAAATGTTTATCACCTGGACTAATCAGAAAATTAAAAAAACGTTTGTACAACGGAATATGTTTGACTTTAAGCACATAAAACCGTTTGATAAAGCGTATATCGATAATCCAGGTGCGATGGTGGTGTTTGCTACGCCAGGAATGTTACACGCCGGTCTCTCTCTCCAGATTTTTAAGAAATGGGCGCCTAATGAGTCCAACATGGTTATCATGCCAGGTTTTTGCGTGCAAGGTACCGTGGGGCACAAAGTTTTAAACGGTACGCGGAGAATAGAATTCGAAAATCGACAGATCGTGGAAGTAAAGATGGCCGTGGAGTACATGTCCTTCTCTGCTCATGCTGATGCAAAAGGAATAATGCAATTGATACAGTATTGTGAACCGAAGAATGTTATGCTGGTGCATGGAGAATTCGCTAAGATGGAATATTTGAAGGAGAAAATCAAACAAGAATTCGGTGTTAGTTGCTATAATCCTGCAAACGGCGAAACTTGTATTATCACGACCACATCCAAAGTTCCCGTAGATGCTTCTCTAGCATTGCTGAAAGCCGAAGCAAAGAGATACTCGGCCTTGCCACCTGATCCGAAAAGACGGAGATTGCTTCACAGTGTCTTGATGTTGAGAGAAGACGGTGTCTGTCTTGTAGATGCGGATGAGGTAATATTTCACATAATAACTGTTTAATTCGTGACTGTTATTCTTTTTATCGGAATAACAGTTGTTATTTTATATGATTATTGCTTTTGTATTTGATTAGGTTGCAAAAGCTGCAGGTATCACAAAACATGTGGTCAGATTCACATCTACTGTGCAAGTAAGGGATCCCGGCCCAGCACAAGCTACTACCTTAAAACTATTGCAGCCATTGAAAGAAAGACTATCCGGATGGACGGTTCAATTGACGGAGGGTTCTATATCTGTCGAGTCTGTTTTAGTAAAGGTGGAAGGAGATGAAGATGATCAAAAGAGTGTTTACGTTTCATGGACTAATCAGGATGAAGATTTAGGTAGTTATATTCTTGGATTTCTGCAAACAATGCTGAATTAAAGAAATGGACAAAATTACTGTAAACAAAATTTCGACCTGTGATTGAAATGTGGTTTACATTATCACTATTAAATGAACGATTGTAAATCTATTTTGCAACTTGACGCTAATCAAGGTAAAAATATATTTTCCAATAACACACTATGTTAAACATTAGATGACGGTTATACAATATTTTTTTTATGTTTTGGACGTTTGTATTTACCTGAATAGAATAAGAGACAAATATATAGAATTATAAAACTAAATATGAAAAATATTGTATCTGTCACGCATTCTTTTAGTTACCTGTAAGATATCCATCCTAAAAAGGAAGTAAGTGTATATATTGCTGAGAAATATGCTGTATATAAATATGTAGTATAATTTTAGTATAATATAATTTTTTATTATTATATAATGAATCTACTAAATATCTGTAATCTTTGTTCTTCAAAGATGATGTTTATTGCCTTTTTTTACTACTTGCATCTTAACGAGTTGTTAAATAAACATCTAACTTTTTAATGAGACCGGCTTATCTTGTACCGCTTCGTCTTGTAAAAATTATTTCGATGGCTTATTAAGATGCAAGCAATAAATACGATAAAAGTCAATTATAAAATTGACCAAAAAATTGCAGAAATTTACTAGCTCTGCTATATACCATATTGTGAAAACAATTGTTAATAATAGTTATAGCACCCTGTCATTAAACGTTATCGTTTTTAAAATGATGTATAGTTTATCGATAACTCAAGATAAATAATTCAAAAGATAATTCATAATAAGTAAAAAATGGTAATGTTAGTTCCAAAGTCTTATTAAATTCGATCTGAAAGTACAACTTTTAGAATTAATTACCTAAACTAGTCCGATAGGTGAATCAAAATGTATATCATATTTTATACTTTAACTATATATATTGTACATATGTATCAGTATCAATAAATGGATATTTATTTAAAGGTATTATTCACCATGTTAACAAATAAATGAAATGAAAAATTTTTCGAAATTGCATAACATTCAGCATCAAGTAAAACAGTAAACTTTTATTAACTATGAATATGCTTTCTAGATACAAAACGGTAAATAAGTACGCAGTGTACTAAACATACATGCCTCTTACAAAACTCAGTACAATAACTATTCTTTTTTATGCAACCAATCGATTACATAAGTGAACAAAGAACTCTTTAAGTGTACTATTAACGTCTAACACAGTATTCTTTAAATATTCATGCAAGCAAGTATTTAAAAAAATTATCTTCGAAGTTCTACTAGAATATAGAACTATTCCAATAACAATACGGAACATTTTGGCTTGTCCAATTAATAAACATCTGTTTAAAGCGTAATTAAATACGAATATAAATGATTGCAAGCATCAATTTTTTAAATGCCCCTAAAATTGTATGTTAACTTGAACTTGTTAAATATATTCTTAGATCTGATAATAAAAGTCTATATGTGAATTATATGAAAATCTGTCTCAAGTATGCAGTACTTGCTTTCAATACAATTGTTGGGCGCAATTAATTTCAGTTAACATTTGTATATATGTATAAGACTGGCTCGTTCAAACTCTCGCCTTACTTCCTTATTGCACGTAAAACGAATAATAAATTTGAATTTGTATACAATGGAACATGAAGATCGCATTTTACAAATTTGGTGTATTGTGTTCGCTATCGATAACAAAAAATGTCATATATATTTTATATCATATTATGCATATATATGTATATATTTATATATATATAATTTCTGGTCCATGCGTCTAATGATAAAAAAAGAAAAAAAGATGTTAAACACTAATAACAGTATGACTCAGAAATAATATCAGAATCAATATCGTTATACACAATGAATCATGAAGTCATGGAATCCATTAATTAATTAATTGTACAATTTTTTGCGTCGCAAGAACATATTCTTCAAGTGTTATGTTCTTATACGTCTCACAACAGAATTAAAATTTACAAATTGTTTTATAGCTCATAGATTCTATAAACAATATCGATGATCCATAATGCACAATTTTGATAACCTTTACATCGTGTATAGCTATTTATAATTATAAATTATATAACCATCACATACTCAAGTATTTCAAGTTTTCCCATTTAATCGCTACGAATTTAATTATTTATATTTTCTCCACATAATAAAATATGATATTTTTTTACAATAAACATTATTCGTAGTATTTTCACTTTATATTAGTCTTCTGAGTAGCAAAGTATGCCATTTATACCTATATAGCAATGCTGCATTCGCTTTTAGCATTTGCGCATCCCATCTTTTTAACCACCAGTACTCGCACTGCACTAGCGTAGTTTATTTTTCGAAGTTATTTTTTTCCTGAACCACCCTGAAAGATTACATTAATAGAATGAATAAAGTATGTTGCCAATTCTTCGTAACATACTAAATTGACAATATATATATACTAAAATATATATAACACAACACATATATATGTATACATACATCCTACGTATTTATTCTTCCCTTATGAGTACGATAGATAATTATTACAGGTAATAATAAATAAAAACAAATATTATATAAATAATAAATAAATATTACATATTAAATTTTCCAAAATTTCAATATTTATCCAATAAAGCAATCAGGAAGAATAATTTGAAATCTGTGAAAGATAGCACATAATAATGTGAATTATTAATAAGAAATATTAATAAGAAATTACATATTACTCTACTAAATATTTCTTATTAATAAAAAAATATTTTCTGCATTGTCTTTCATTCTTCTAAATCTAATATACAATTAAACAAAAATACACATGCTTTCCAACCATGCTGGAATTAATTGCATAAAGCTATATATATTCAAAATTCATTATCTTATATTATTAATTAAAAAGCAACAACAATAATAATAATACATTGTAAGTAGATAAATAATAAAAACATTTCATTACCTTATATTAGAAAGCAATTATGAAAAAGATATATTAATAGTGCAATAAGTAAATGAAAAAGTTCAATTATTTCATGCTAAGAAATAGTTTACAACATAAAGATACTACTTAACAGCACATATAACAGGTAACACATAAAAGAAGCAAAAAATAAGTATGAAAAAATATTAAAATATATTAGCTTCCATTATCTACATTAATTATTTAATTAAATCTGATTAATTTTAGATTAATATATACATATTCAACATTATTGTACCGTCATTGTTAGTAGCATTCCAGATTCTGATTACTTTTTATTTTAAAGGTATATTGTACAATTAAGCGACGAAAAATATTTCAATTAGAAAACAACATATGAAACATACATGTATAAAACAGTAAAAAAGGCAAACATTTATAGCCTTTGATAATGTGTCACACCACTATATTTAATACTTAACATATAAAATTTATTTAAAAAAAGAAAAATAATGGATGATGTATGGAAGCAATAAAATCATATCAGATATTGTTATGAAAAATAATTAATTGTTATAGGGATTAATCAGTTTAACGAAAATCGTTTTTCTCGCGCAGTACCTTTACCCTAGTGTTTGTGCTGACAAAAATTTCCTTGTGTGTGTGTGTGTGTGTGTGTGTGTGTGTGTATATATATATATATAAAACTATATACATTTCTGAATATTTCCATGTACATTCGCGTATAATTATATTTCTAATTTAACATATATTTCTCTATATATTAATTAATGTAGTGTTATAATTTTTATACTCTTTTGCAAAAATAACGTATTAACTATTTACTTTATTCAGAAATTAATATATATATTATACACTTACAATGGATTTAACAGCCAGTTTCGTGTCATCGGCAGGAATTAAAGATGGGAATAGAAATTATTTTTCTAGCCATATTGTGCCAAGATATGCAAAATGCAAAATATTCGTAATAATATATAGTCACAAAATAAAATATAAAGCCAACAATAGCTACTGTGCATGTTTTTGGAACATATCTAAATATAATATACGTGAATATTATAAAATTTTACGAACAATTAATAATACTATATAAGAAATGTAAAATATCATGTGAATTATTTAAAATTCACGCGACATTTTAAATAGTTTTAAATACTCATATTTACAAGATTAGATTATAACTGTATTATATCATTATGACATAATTGTATCATAAATAGGACCAATTCAAATATAAAAACTATAATTAGTTAATTATAATTATAAGATAATAATTGTATTTAAGTTTTATCTTATAATATATAAAACACATGATGTGTGTGTGTGTGTATCTAACACTTTTCACACCAACATCAACATCGAAAAAGGTTTGCTCTAAGTATATGTTCCAAGTAATAAACATAGACTAACAGTACTATTAATATGGCCTACATTTACGATGTGACATAATAAATAAAGTTTTACAATATGTATGATGTAGACTTGTTCTATGCATGTCTTTTCTTATCTTAAATAAGTAATACATTTTTTTATATATATTTCTATTTCATTTATGTAATTTTTAGAATATTTATTATTTAGAATATTTATTTATAAAATCGTGATAATTGCATATTTGTCACTTCTTACATTTACTGGTATGGAAAATTTAAATTCATACAATTCTAAATGTGACATTTTTATTTTTCTTACCAATAACAGTATTTAAAATATCTAACTGTTAATAAATGTAATCTTTCTAATAATTAATAATAATACATCAGTATGAATAATGATAATGATAACAATTTATGTTTCAAATTACCGGAAATATTTTCACTACATTTTATGAGATAAAAGAAAAAATAATATGCAAGTACAAAAATTGAAAATAGTGCATTTATAAATACGATGTAAAAGTTTAATGCCACAACAGAATATGTGTGATGAGAAACTAATTATCGGTAAAATAAAATACATGATAAAACTTGACACATGAATTGCTAGCGGTAATTCTACTATTAGAATTTTCCGAAAGGCTAGGAAGAAACATTTCAGTATCTCATCTTTAGATTTGCATACCTGCGAATCTGCGCCGTTTTGCCATGGTTTTCTTAGTGGACTGTCGAAACAATCAAAAGTTAAATCGTTATTGATTACAGAGCAAGCATTCGAACTAAGCAATTTTTTTGTTATTAATCGTACAACTGCGGTAACCTATCGTGGTTGTTTTGAGCATTGATAATATTACGTCAAAACTTTATAATGAACAAACACTAGGACAAAGATTACTGGTATTAACAAAATTTATAATTTAGCTTGACTACCAAAGATTCAAAAAAGATAAGATGGTCCATTGACTAAAATCAATTAACTAGCTTAAGCCTATTCGACAAACTTAGCATTATTATATTACAATTAGAAATTATATTTTCGTCGCTTAAAGTGTAAACAGATTGTAGCAAACTAAACTTCTGTCAATGTGCATAGTTTTATAAATTTTTTAGGATGCTAAAAGTTTTTGATACATGTCTGATGTGGAAAAATGCTGCAAATGTGTGATATTACATTTACATAATACATTTTGTATTTAGTTATTTTTATGAAACGTTATGTTTATAACGATTGTACCTAATTGATTGTAAAAGTAAAATACTATCTAGTTTCAGAAATGATAAAAGAATAATTTTATGTAAAGCGAAAAATTTAATTCTCGTACATTTGGATAAAATATTAATGTATGACTAGTATGTTCATGTAATTATGAATCTCAATAAATATTGTGCAGCAAATATAAAAGTAAATTTACAACACGTATTATTCTGACATGTTATCTATGAAAAGATCTATACAAGTGCAAAGTTTACAAGACCAATTTTCATCTAATTTTATAATTACTATATCACATGCCATTTAAATGTATGGACGCGTTTTACTTCCTTACTGACAGCCACTATAATAAATAATATTGGAGTATACAAAATCAATCTACACCATAAAGTACTGCCTCAAGATACAAGCTATTAAAAATAATATTACTTTAATAATAGCAAAGAAATAATAACGACGGACTCAGTTTTATCACAAAGAATATGACGAAATTAAAAAGTATATGCATTTCACATAAAAAAAGTTAAGGTAGGTAAAAAATGATTTTTAAAATTTTAATATTTCGTTGTTTGCTGTGTTCAGTTAATTTCTTTACAATCCTATCAAGTATTCCTGTCTTATTTAACCGTATATATAAAAAAGACACATAAGCATTATTTCATGTCAATTAATATTCATTTAATTTATAAAGTTGAATAAAATACAAAATATGTATTTCAGAATTATAATAGATCTTTAATGCTAAAATTCGTTTATTAAAACATTATATGTACTATTTTTAAAAATATTGTAAAAATCATAAGCTATAAAGAAGCCTTTGTATTATTCTTTGTAATATTGAGCCTTGATAAATGTGTCTCACATTTCAATAATTAACTGAAGTGCACCTATTACAGTAATCGAGCCAGTAACACTTCTTTTTGTCTCAGATTTATAAGTTTACCTTCCTTTTTTTCTTGTGCTTTTTATGTTGCTGGCCAATCACTGGGTTCCAATTAGCCTGTGTGTTGTGATCTGTCATATGACAAGATTTGGAGGAGTATTTTGTAGTAAGGGAGTTGTTCTCAATTTCTTGTTCAGATTGATTGACCAAATTGACAGATTTGGTAATAGAACAGTTTGCAAACTCTGTATTCTTGAGCCGAGTATTTTCTAACACAGCTATCAGAGTCTGAGATGCTAGAGAAGGCTATATTCCAGATATATTATTATATGACTGCTTAAAGGAATCAGTTACAGAAACGGCAATTTACGTTGCGATCATTCATTATATATTGTAATAAATATAATGGCTTCAATACAAATTTGCAAAATTGCCGTTCCAATAAATTATCTAATAATCTTGTAATTTTTAAACACAGTAATCAAATTGCTAGTACTTAAATGTATAATTGAAATATGCAACAACTAAATTTTCAAATACTTTTTAAATAATAAGAGAAATGGTTTTATTAATATATTGGTAAATAAATGGTTTTATTAATATGGTTTTATTAACAAAAAAACAATATTTTTTTTTAAATACACCTCAAAAATATCAACAAATTAATCACTGTGTTTACTAAATGGCTGCAGTAAGTAACGTGAAAATTACAGCTTGGAATATAATTCAATCTAATGAGACAATTATATCAATACTTTATTAAATTTGAACATGATATTTCTACAGATATCTTTCAAACAAATTTTTGCAATTAAGCATTATACTATAACTCGGTTGCACAATTGTATTCCAAGAGTTTCGATAATTATTGATAAAGTAATCTCTGATTGTTTTTAATAATTGTACAGGGTGTCTGATTATTGATATGACGATCGTAGGTAGATACATTAAACTAAACTGCATACAAAGTACCATTTTGATTTTCATAAAAATTAATGAAGAGAAGTTAATTTAAATTAAGATTTACGAATGTGCAACATACGTCTACGCGATTTGGCGATAATTTCTAGGTGCGTGATGAGGTTTGAGAGCGCTCAGTAAACAAAAATGACTATACACGAGCAAGCACATCGTTGTTAATAGAACACTCTTCTCAAGTTTAATTCGATCTATCTACTCACGAGTGTTGCGTTAGACATTCTGTACGCATATAAATATTATATATAATATTTATACAATAAAACATTATATATAATAATTATACATAATACATTATACATAATAATTATGTATAATAATATATTATATATAATTATTATTATAGGTAATTTCACAACTTTTTGAAGGTCAATTATTTTTAAAATTACTTTGTAATATATACTACATGTGTGTAATGTATAAAAGATTAATTTTTTAATTATGCTATGTATATGTAGATGACGTTAGAGAAATTAACTCCATTTGACTTCTATACATAAATTGCAAAAACAAATTAAAAATAAATTTAAGTTTCTTAGTTCTATAATTAGTACAAAATCTAAAACAAATTGTGAAAAAAAATTATCTTATTTACAATTTGTTATTGTCATATCTTTTTTGCTTTGTTTATATATTCAGAAGAATTATATAACTTTTTTTTTGGTGAAAAATAAAAGTTTTTTATGTAATGTAACATGTGCATACATGCACATATATAAAAATTTTTATTTTTCCGTTCGTTATATGAAAAAGTTATATGATCGAAATACAGCAATATGTATATTAAGATATAATTTATCTTTTTTATGTCGAAAGCTTTATTAATTCTATAACAACATCTATATGCGTAATTTGCTTGATCATTCAATTAATGTATATACAAAAGTACAATGGTCACAATCAAGCAATTAGTAATTATAGACAGATCTTTTTTTTTCAATTGTTGATTAGTAATTATTGGCAGATTTTTCATGATTAGTGAAGTATATAAGTATTTTGCAGCATTGTGCAATACCTAACAATTTTATAATACAGAACCTTTGTTATTATCAATATAGCCAAAGCTATGTAATACTTCCAATAAAGAAGGCACACCATGTAAATAAGAGTTAAATAAACTCTTACTAATAGATACTAACCTCAGATTGAAGAGAATCCGATGTGGCTGGACCGTTTAACATAGACTGCTCTGAGCTGCTACAGCCGCCACAAATTTCATTCTGGAATCAATAGAGTAATATGTTTTATTTTTCTACTTAATTTTACATATATGTATATCGCTACAAAACACTTAAAAAAATACCTTGAGTTGAGATACTTCTTGTTGAAGTTGTGAGACAAGAGTTTTCTCGTATACTAAGCTCGCCTCGCTAGTTTCAACAAGAGAACGCAATTTTGTAACTTCGGCATCCAACGTCGCCCTCTTATTGCATTCTATTTCTAATTCTTGTGATAATCGAGCTTTCTCCTAAAATGATAATAAAAAAATAGAGTAATGAGAAAATTGATATTTTAACAACATCGATATTCATCATATACATGTACGTATTCCAATATGGAATTAATAATTAATAAAAAATGTAATATATCAGCGATAAATCTACCTCTTGTAATTGTTCTAAAGTAACAAGCTCGTTGCCATCTAATTCTCCACAGGCTCTCTGCGCGGCTTTAAGTAATGTTCCCGTACGATTCTGTTCTATACGATCTTCCAACTCTTTCACTCTTTGTTTAAACTAGAAAAAAGAATTTCAACATAAAACTAAAAAATATATATCTTTGGAAAATTTATGCGGTTCAAGAAATAAAAAAATAAACAAAATAAAAAGATTTTTATAATTTTTACCTCTTCACTTGAAATTAGTTTGGCTTGCATATCATTAAGTTCTACTCTGAGGTTTGTCACTTCATTCTCCTTTTGCCGAAGTTGTGACTGCCATCTCGTCTCCTCGGATTCTATATGACTTTGTAGTTTATTAAGCATACCTTCCTAAAAAAAATAAAAAAAAAAATAAAAAATAAAAAAACAAGATTTAAATAGAAGGATTATGTTCAATAAAGTATTGTTGTCAAATTCAATAAAATATTTACCGTATCGTAAATAATTTGTTTGTAATGTGAAACCATGCCTTGCAAATTTTTATTCTGTTTCTCCAAATCTGGATTTGTCTGATCTGTGTTTTTCTGTTTCAATTCATTTAGAATAGCACATAATTTATCTTCAAAAGATTTGAGCCATTGTTCATGTGTCTTCTCGGACACTTTAATCTCTGGGAATATCCTTTGTAGAAATGCCTTAGTTATTTCTTCTTGTTCCTCTTTTATTTTTTGTGTTACCTCCTAATTAAATAAAGAAATATTATAAGAAATATAAGTATATATATATTTATATTTATATACATACATATACTTATAATAGTCAATAATCGCAATTAAAATAATTTAAGAAAAAATATAACGATATGATTAAATCAATTCTTGTAATATGCTATTTTATCGTTAAGTTACTCTTTAGCTAATAATATTATATAAGAAATAATATTATATGAGAGCAAAGTCAATGGATTCTGGGTTCAATCTCATGTATACATTTCTCATCCCATGTACTTTGATTTTATAAAAGAACGACTGGAAAATTAAAGATTGTGAATGAAGGAATGAGAGGATAAAAACAGTAACTCGTTTGGAGAACCCATATTTTAGTAAAATATTTAGCTAATAATATTAATTGAGAATTATAACAAAGACGCTTACTTTAACGTTTCTCTCATCACTGGATTTGGCACGCAACTCAGCAGCAGAAAGAGCTTCCATCACTTTCCAGTTCTTTGTGCGTAGTTCCTGTGATAGAGAAAAGCCGAAAAATAAAAAAGTAGAGAAATGTATATATATTTATAAGCTATATTATTATAATAGATTATATTCAAATTATAAATTTTTTTATAATTTGAATATAAAATTAATTTACACAAGAGAAATTTGTATAATGATAACAGTAGTAAAAATGTATAAACGTTACACAGAAAAATAATAATTAAATTCGGACACATATAACAAATATAGTTTATAACATCAAATAAAATAAAAAGCATTTTAAGTTAATACACGAAAAACTTACATTATTTTTAGATTTTTGGACTTCCAAAGCTTCTTCTAATTGTCTAATAAAATGTTGGTCCTTGTCTGCATTACTTTCTAATACATGTAATTGTTCGTCCAGCTTATTAAACTCTTTTTCTTTGTGCGTAGTTGTTTTTTTTTCTAATAGAACTTTTTCGTCTCTAGATTTTTCGAGAATAAATATTTTATAGAAATTAATTAAGTAAAATATAACATTATATATATCTAATGGAAAAGTTATCGATGCAATTAAATTCATACGATTAAAAAATATATATATATATATATATATATATATATACATACAAATATTATTATATATACATACAAATTGGCATGTTGAGACTCAGTAGTAGTGGCTAATACTACGTCCGTATGGATTTTGTTATCCTCTTGCTGCTGTTGAAGTTCTCTTTGTTTCTCTATAGCACTCGCAAGCTGTGTATATATAAGGCATATTGTTTTAAAATTTTTGTTTCATATTTAATATCTCATACACTAATATTAACTTTTGATGCAACATACAATTGTTAGAAAAAAGACTAAAAACTAAATAATACCTCAGTACGCAGTCTATCATTTTCTTCTTGTAGTTTCATAATTCGAAACTGTTCGTCTCCTATTTTTTTCTCATTGCTCTGCAATCTATTTAATTCGGTTTGCAAAGTTTTTAATTCGTTCGCCATTTCACTGGATTCCCTAAGTTGAGTATGAACTATACTCAATTCCTTACGTGAATTTGCCAATTCTTCCTGGAGTGTATATACCTCATTTTGATACTTATTTGCGTCATTCTTCGCTTCATTTAAACTACCTTCCGCCCTTTCAAAATCAATCTTTAGCATATCCAATTTCTTTTGTACAGAATTCAATTCAGATTCCATACATGTAACTTGCATGCCAGATTGTTGCAAATCATTTTGTACAGCATAAAATTTGTCCTGTGATCTCTTTAGTTCGTCCTCCTTGTTACTCAATACATTTTTCAAGGCTATAATTTCGGCTGCTTCTGATTTAGCTTCATTCATCGTAGCTGACAGCTCAGATTTTAATTTTATTAATTCTGTTTGAGTCTTGCTAAGTTCTACCTTTAAAGTAGACGTTTCATTGGCTTCATTTTTCGCATGATTTAATTCCGCCTGCAGTGAATTTACTTGCTTCTGCAATTCTTGTTCATGTCGATGTGCGCTTTTCAATCTATGATCTAAGTCGGCGTGCGCACGATGAGATTCCTAAAAATTAATAAGAAAACTTAATATATAGATGGAAAATGGCTAAACTTACTTAAGAGTACCGATAAAGGATTATGATTCTCACCTCAAGTTGCCTAGCAATATCTTGTAGTCGATCGTTTGTTTCCTTGAAGTGTTGTAATTGTCCTTCCGAATGCATCAATTGACCTTGCATTAGTCCTAATTGCTGACGTAACATCTCTATCTCTCCGGAGCTACTCTCGCAAGTCGCTTGCAGTTCATTTTGCAGATCCTGCATCTCTACGTGTTTTTGAGCCAATTGCGATTTCAATGTATTCTCAGTTTCGCGCATCTGAGCGAACTGCACTTCCATTTGCTTTCGCTGCGCCATTAATTCTTGCTGCAAATGGCCCTGAGTTTGTCCCTGATCTTCTTGTAACTTGTGAATTATTGTGGCATCCTCATTCACTTTAGTCTGCAATTGTTCGATCTGTCTAGCAAAACCTTGCTTCTCTGCAACATGACTTTCCAAAATATGTTGCATTCGGGTATGCAATGTCTGAGTCTCTGTGATTTTCGCGTTCAAAGTTTCCTCGAGTTGTCTAGTAGTTGCTAATAGTCTAGATCTCTCCGTATTAAATTCAGTTCGCAATTCCTTTAGCTTGTTTTGAAAGGCCACGCTCGCTTCGTGTTCATCAGTCAGTGCTTTCTCTTTTTCCGCCAATTGTTTTTTCAATTTAATAACAGGATCGGCACGACCTTCTGTCCACTCAGAATGTTCTAATGGATTGTCTTGCTGTTTATTCAAGAGATGATTCGTGAGGATCTGTATTTCAGATCGACTAAGTTCTGCCTTCTGAATACATAGCATCAATAGTTCAACATTAACAGCATCTCCATCTAAAAAATTTTATGTTAAAAATATCAAATATTAAAATTAAATATTGAAATTTTTATAATAAATTTGTATATAGTTTGCGATGAAAGCCCTACAAATGTATATTCGATAATTTATTGAAATATTAATTAATATAAAAACATGTATATACACTTTTTAATATAATGTGTATAATATTTGGTTTAATTAAAATAATCTGTAAAGATTATTACAATTGTTTCAGAAACACAATAAATATTTGAAATTTTACTGCTTCTATTGCAGGGCTACCGGTATAAGTGCATGGACATTGACCTTTGATGTGTGTAGAGGGGGAAGTGATCCTACCTCAACCACATTCCAAAGCACTTCAAAGGAATTTGCTTGACTTTGCTTTAGTCAGATATTTCACATAATTTATAGATTTTATTAGATGTTTAAACATATATTATAAAATAATTTATTTTTAGAAAAAAGTGTATTATATATAAACATTTTATCGTCCAACACAATTTTCTTATGTATGAGGTAATTACAATCATATAAATGTACTGAAGTTTATATCAATTTATTTACTTTCATTAATGTATTTTTTAATGCTCATGTGAAATAAATAACATTCTTTCATTAAAAAACGCTACGAATTAATTCCAACACCTAATAGTTAAACTAATATATTTATCATATATTAACAAAATAAAATATATAATGTGTATAAATATCTCTACTAAATCTCTAAGTTGTAAAAAAAACAAGTGGCAAGTTACAATACAGAAAGAAATGAGGTCGTATTTCCAATCAATTAAATTGCAGGCTATAGACTATCATGACAGGTTAGAAATATTGATTTGCTCTCTGTCAAGAAACACACAGATTTGATTCATCTTAAAACACTAGATGCATGTTCTTGTCATTTATTATTGAATTGGATCACGTGCGCGCACAAATAAGTAAATTTATCTTCATGCAAACAATGACTTACCCATTTGAGATAAAATATCATTCTTTTTTTTCGTCTTTTTGGGTTCCTTGTTTGGTAACTGTTGGATTACCTCCTTGACAACTTCCTTTACTTCCTTAATTGGCATTTCCTTCTGTTCCTTTATGTCCCTCAAAGCTTCCTTCATAGCTTCTTTATTAGATGTATTATTATAAGTAACAGTATCCTGTTTCTCATCCTTATTTTCATCTTTCTTCTTTACAGCATCTTTGTTGTTCTTCTTTTTAGTTGGAGTATCCTTTGGTGACTTGTTGACTTTCTCCACTGTCTCAGTTTGGGTAATCTGCTGAAGATTCTCTCTCTATTATATACATACACACACGTACACGCGCGCGCGCGCGCACGCACACACACACACACACACACACACACGCACACACGCACACGCACACATATGACAGACATATTATATAATATTATAATAGAAATGTTATTATATTACGTTCAAGTCAAGTAAATAATTAAATAAAAAAGATAGAATTCATATAAAATATTAATATCCGTATTAATTACAATCTATGGCAATGTAAAGATTATGTTACCTCAATATTTTAATCTTTACTTGCGTATTTGTTAATATTTCATAAATTAATGATTGCTGTTAGTAGAGAATATATTGGATGAATGTTTAATAAATATGTGTATTTCTTCATGCACGTGTAATTTTCCCAATTAATAGAAACAAAAGAAATTAAGCAGTGAAAACAATTTATTTTGTTTGCAGTATAATGGCAGATATGGCAACAATCTTAAAAAAAAATTTCAATCAACTTCGAAAAAACCTACTTAGCTTAATATTACATTCAAATTTAATATAGAAAGACTGTGCAAAAAATATCTATGCAAGTAATGTATAACATTCGGCAAATGGCAATCACTCACACTTTGACTCCGTACAAGTTCAAGGTCATCCTTTGGATGAATAACATCAAAATGGTTAGCCTCTGCCAAGGAAGGTTGCGAGGGATTTAATTCAGTCACAATGACTGATGGCTCATCTTTATTTACGAGGATGGGTTTTATCTTTTCAAGTTTTCCTTTCTTCTTATTGCCTTTGTTACTCTCCTAAGAGTTTAATGTAAATGTATGTTTCCATGATATTTGATCAAGAAGGCAGTGTCAAGAAATATCAAGCAGCATGCTCGAAAATCCATGTTACATTATATAATAATGGGCACGTATATAAATCATACTATACATATATCATATTTCACATAATAAAATATAATTTAAATAACGTCAAATTATCTTAATATCTTTATAAAACAATATAATACTTAATAATAAGTTATTTTGTTAACATTAAACTGCTTTTCACCTTATATTTATTTTGTCCTCTTATTGAACACATAAACCTGGAATTTATAAGTTTGTTATATCGCAGTTAATACTGTCTCTTTCATAGTATTTCTTTTATGAAGATTAAAACGAATTGAAAATTTACTGAAAAAATTTTTTTTTAATATTATGTTTTGTACATGACTAAAATTAGTAAAAAGATTTATAGAAAATATCCAATTCTACACTTAATATTTTTTGTGTTTGGTTCTTCTATAATCTAAGCGATAAGATAATTAAGACTGAAGTCTGAATCATTAAAATACTGCTGCATATGTATGATGAAGTTATTTTTAGGAAATAATCTTGAACTTGCAGAATTACTTATCAATGGGACATGTATGCAAGAAATAATCATGTAGCAACTTTTCAATCAAAATCATATTCTTAAAAAAGGACATATTTGTTTAATATCTCTGTCCACCTGTGTACATGTTAATTCTTTTCAAATATAATATGTTCTCATTTATAAAACCGGTAATTTTTTCCTTGTACAGTTTGATATAACCTATTACTTAATTAAAGATTTAATCTTGCAATAACTTACCAAGACATCATTTGTACATTATATAAAATTGAGATGTAATAAATTCCAATTTTTATTTAGAATAATACTATAAAAGATAAATTAGTAATTCTATTATAAAGATATTTTACAAAACAAAAATTATAAATTGTGGTTAAAGAAAATTAACAAATGAAAGTAGTACACAATCAAAAAGCGACTTCAGAGTATCTGAAACGTTAAAACTGACAGTTCTATTAAATTACGATTTTCTCTAAAAAGAAAAAATACAGAGCAATCAAGTATAAAATATAAATCTTCTTAAAATCTTCTCACGTTATCAGGTAAATCATCATGAATGAGAAACAAAATTTGTGTATCGTTGAAAATATGTTCAATATAAGGATTTGTTTATTATAAGTTATTTGAATTTGATTTGCAATGCCCATTATTATATAATGCTAATAAAGAACTTATAATTTACGAGGGTTAAAAATGATTTTAAAAAATTAAATTTTTATAAGTAACGTATATAAATATGATATAAAACTTAAAAAATATAAAACTTTAATTATAATTCATTTAATTACTATATATACTTATACAACTATAATATAAGTTATTTTATTACATATTCAGAAAAATGATTGTAGAATACATCATGAAATAATAACTATTAAAATAAATAATAATTATAACAATTCTGTGTTCATGCCTCGTGAATTATATGACAATAGAATAAAAATAGGACGCTTCCTGTTTATAAATCTCTTTTTTTTTGCTAGGTAGATGTAATGATGCCATATTGTGTGTCATCTAGGTTATTGTATTTCATGCATGAAAACAAGATGTTCAAATCTTAAATATTTCAAAGACAGCTTTATGTACAGCTCATACTTTTATTTTAAGACAGGCAATCATGATTATGATGTTTGTGTAAGTGATAGTATGAAAAGCATGTAAATATTAATCGATTGAAGGACCAGGATCCGTATTGTATATCTCTTAACGACGTATCGTTACATTTATCATTGTGCAGTTTTTTCACCCGATAAAAAGTTGCGCAATGATAAATGTAACGATATCAACACATCGTTAAAAGAATACAGAATATAGGTGCAGAAGCGTGATCGTGCTTCTCTGTTTCATGTTAGAAAATTGCTAAGCACTATCGTTTTCTTCTTTTGTCTCATCGTTCTATATTGTGAATATTTGAAGATTGAAGACAATTGCGATAGAAAGAATCCATTGAAAATATACTTATTTGAGTGCTTGATTGGCACTTGTTTCTTACTCACTTTCTAATTCTCTAACAGTTGAATAAATAAAGACATATATATCTATCCAGTAATAAAAGTCCTATTCTTTTATTGTATATTAAATCAAAGAGTTTACAATCCCATTACTATATCTTACCCAATTCTTATAGAATAATTATAGTCTTTTTAATAAATAATAAAAATATCAATAAATCAATAAATCTAAGTTTACCTGTACTGGAGGCTCAGAAGGCAATATTTGAGGAGTTTCTTCAAATTGCACATGATCAGATCTTTCATCTTTGTCCTCCTTATCATCTTTTTCTTCTTTCTTCTCTTTCACCTTCTTTCCTGCTTTATTCTTGTGCTTCTTTTCTTTATTTTTATCCTTTTTACCTAAGCAGATAAAAAATCATAAACAGAATAATAAAAAATCTATTAAAGAGTACTATAACATACAAGAATATTTCTCTTAACACATTTAATATTTCATTAACTTATATCAAAATTTTACTTATTTTCTATTTACACATATATTAGGCATTTTCAATTTATATTCTGTACCAAATGATTTTATACATCATCAAAATAATTATATTATAAATTCATAGATTAAAAATTTGACTTTACAGGCAATATCACATGAATTGACGTACTTGACAACAGATCATCAGGAAGCTTCCTCTGTTCGGCGATTGCTTCTTCGTAAGATTTCTCTCTGATACCGAACATCGAAATGAAGGCAATGGCTGCAGCAGAGAGGACAACAATGCCGACATATACCAGTCCTGTCTGAACATCCATCTTTGGTCGTTTTAGCTGTAAGAAAATTACCTAAGTGTCAGTACGTTATAGAAGATAAAATGTCGTCAGTTGTAACATAGATTATAAAAAAAAAAAAAATTTCTTTCACTTTCACAATATTTTCATATCAGTGTCAATTCGGACACATAGGTAGTTGTTTGCCCTTTGAACCTATCACTAGCTTTTTAAGAATCCACATGAATCATTAGGTTGATAAAGAATCCTATCTACATATATTTACGGAAAACGGCTCTTCCGCCCAGCTATGATAAATAAGAGCAATATAAGAAATTCATCCAGAAGAGAGAAATTTCAGGATAAAATTCAGGAATCGCGAGAACTTAATATTTCACGTTAAATTTATTTGATGGAAAACAAAAAGCGAAACGGTTGCGAGGACACTGGCAAATTTGTCCTTGAGGAATCCCAATGGGGCATCTCAGATAACGGTGGGACGTGTATACGTGTGCAGGCCGAGCGGGGGTGAAACCAAAGGAGGAATCATAGTGAACATGCGGAGTGAATCGGAGCTGTGCGATATCGCGGCCAACTCGGAGGAGCGGCATATGGATTATGGGGCCGCGGGTCATCGACACATCACGGGGATTGACCGGTGAATTCGGTGTTGCGTCGACACGTTTAACAGTGTTACGGTGCGACCGGCATGCCGTTACCACCGTACTTCTCGTCTCTCCCCCGGCGAGAGTCTCACACGCGCGCCGACGCCGACCACTTACCGAAGGTGTTTATTCCCGTAGATTCCAAGACGCGATGCTACGACGGACACTGCGAATAGTCGGGCGACGATTGTCGCAGATCGACGTGCTCCTCGCTGCGGACGGCACGGCTGAGTGTCGGCGTAGGCGAAACGGCCAGAGTGATGGAGTATAGGAAAGAGAGAGACGGCAAGCGCGACGGAGCCAGGAATCACACGCACGCGACTTGATTCCCTGAAGCACTATGGCGGCCGGACGTGAAGCGAACTGTACTAGGCGCCGCAAGCCACGCCTATCGCTCGCTGACGCTTCCGATTGGCGTTCAGTCGCTGCCACGTATGCAGGGCGGACAACGACCGGCCGCGTCGCGTCCGTCGCGTTGATCGTCTGCGAGCCGATTGGCGGGTTCTTGATTACCTACGTGCGATCAGATCGGCAACGATGATAACGACGAGCTAGATAATAATTCAGTCGGCAAATGCTGTTTATACGCGTGTCGATGCCGCCCCTGGTGAAAAAGTTTCATGAAATTATTCCACGTTTTGGAACATTTCAGCGAAATTGCTGAAAATTTGCTGAAACTTCACTGAAAGTGAATTTTTCAGCTAACATTGAAAAATCACTGAAATCCAACCGAAATTTCTTTGAAATTTTCTGAAATTTTTCTGAAATTCTTGCTGAAATTTGTCTGAAAATTTTGTTGAAATCTTTCTGAAACTTTGTCGAAAATAAATTTTTTAGCTAAAAATCGCTGAAATTAAATTGAAATTTTGTTGAAAAATATTCCAAAATAGAATAATTTCAGCAATATTTTTCCACCAGGAGCACAAGATTTACCAGGTACTCTGATAAGAATACAACTGAATACAACAATGATCAACGTGAGTGCGAAAGTGCGGTTATTCTTCACGCCAATTGGCAATTCGATAACAATTGTTGATCAATCGAGTTCGCGAGCAATATCGCGGATGTGCACGCTGACGCTGATTAAATAAAATTATGAAACTCTTGTTCATAAAAGAGATAATTAAAAATGCGAGAGACGTGTTGATTAATTTAATAAAATATAATTAACTTATTAATATTTTAATAAAATATATTATTTGAATCATGCAAAATTATACGTTTATTATTTTAAATTATTATTACTTATATTATCTAATTATATTTATACAGTTATTATTACTTATATTAATTATATTTATACAGCATAAATGTCATCTTTTATGAGTGTTATGAACATTTTTTAAATTTAATAGTATACTGTAAATTACGTGAGTGATAATATTAAACAACTTTCTATAATTGATAACATTAATATGTAGCTCTATTTTTAAGACTAGATAAAACAATAAATACATCTTTTTCGTGTTTTTTTTTTAGCAATTAGAGAAATGTAAAGAATAAATTAAATCAAGATTAAAGTTAACTTACATTTGTAGAAAAAGAAAGGGATACTTTAATTCCCATTTGATGACACAAATTGACACAAATATCGTTCTATCTTTGTTATTCATTGAATATCAAAAGATATATAGAATGATATTTGTATTGACTTTGTCACTAAATGAAATATATATCTCTATCTCTACAAATGTAAATTAACTTTAATCTTAATTTAATTTACTCTTTATTTTTTTTTATTGTTAGAATTAAAAAAAAAGAAAAAGACTCGAGATTAAAAGTAATTCACATTCATAGAAATTAGCATTTTAGCCAAATATGTTCACTAGTTAATTAAAAATATTTAATTTAAATTATCCAAATGACTTTTCATGCAATTCTTCATTTACTTTCTGTATTAATTTTATGTAATTACTTAAATAATATTAATTATAAGTTTAATTAAATTAGTTAACTTAAAAATAAATCAATTAATTAAAACTATCCGCATAAAAATCGCTTCATCGAAATACAAATAATTTTCTAAGGAAATTCTTTTAAAAAATCATTATGTCAAGGTCAAGATGCAAATAATTATTGATTTTCATGCATTTTTTATATTAAAAAAGCTGCCTTCTCGATCGAGGCTCTTGTTAGTAATGTGGACAATTCTTCGGGGAATTTTCATCTATGATTGGCTGCGCTGTCAAATAAAAACCACCCAGAAACGAGGGTGAGAAGGAGGGAGGTTCCCGACGAAAAGTTCCTACGTTACCACTAGATCATTCATCATTTTTCTCTCTTCTATTTTTTTCTTTTTACGAAATTCAGAATCTCTCCGTCAGCAATTCAGTGGCAGTTCTCCGTTTAACGTACGGTTTCTGCGGAGAGGAGGCGCTGTTCACTCACTCCATCAGCGATGACAGCGATCAGCCGTCGTCCCCGCTGACGGATTCAAGATGGCTGTGGAACGTCGTAGCGGAGAACGTCTCGGCAGCGTCGACGAGAACCCGTGATTCTTTCGCTACCTTTTTCTCTCCTTTCATTTTTTACATTATCTACGATAATCCGCCCATCGTGTGTCCTTCAACACCTGTTTCACCGAGGCTTGCCCGCGCATCCCTCCCGCAACGGTGCCGCTGATGAAGAGTCGCGAAAAAAATGGCGTCCTGCGACACTAGCTGATTACCGCAAGTACCTCCGATATCAGCGAGGAGGATGACTTCTCAAACTCTTCGGCGTCCTCGCCCCTGACTGACGTAAATCAAACTGGCGGTAAGTCTTGTCGTACTGTCACTTTCCTTCAAGACTCGCGTACGTAACTCGCGTCGTAAGGCAGTTGAGTTTATGTTGAACTTGACAACCCGACACGTCGCGTCTAACGTACGCGAGACACACGCAAGACGAGAAAATTCGCAAGAAGTATTTGGCGCGAAACGCTTCGTAATTGTCATCAGTACATTTGTTAAGTGTAAGTTGTACTTTACGAAGCGAAAAGAAAGTATTCATTTTTCTCGTACAATTATTTTCGAAAAGCTCCAGAATTCAATATATATATCCTTTTAGGTAATTTAAATTGTTTGTGTCTTGTTTATGACAATTTAATTTTAATTTAAATATCATATGCTTCTTGTCGGATAATATAGCTAAAATGAACAAAAAAGCATGTGAATCAGAGAATTGTGAGTCTTTCTGGTAGCATTCATTAAATAACATTATGCGTGGTATTATTAGTAGCAGCTGCTTATTGTAGTTGCAACAGAATGATAACACATATGTCAATAGTTCAAGCTGCATTATATTTATAGATGATACTCAATAGGATAATTTATATATATATATATATAGCATTCATGTTTTATTTAATTCATAGACATGTAGATTTTGCAAAATATACAAGACATATATAAGATCTGTTCTTTTTAGCTGAACTTTTGCATTTGTAATAGTCTGTTCATCTTTCTTTTTTTCTCTCTAAGAGGAAAGAAGAGGAAGAAAGATGAACTAGTGCAAAAGTTCAGCTAAAAAGAACAGGCCTCTAGATTAATTATACAAGTCTAATAATTATTTTTGTAATATATAAATTGTTTTTCTCAAACTAAACAATATTTTGTGTGTGTGTGTGTGTGTGTGTATTAATTAAGTTAGTTTATTTAAAAATAAAGTTATTTTAAAGTTATTAAATATTTTGAACATTCTTTATATTTCTGTATGATATATGTAATTTTCACCTTTTTCCATTACTTTAATGTTATATTTCTGAATTTTGAATTATTATTAACTTTTTGAATCCTATCAGATTATCAATATGACTCCTCAATTGAATCGGAAGCGTGGCTCGTCTGTCAGCTTTACTCGAGCAAAGGATAGCGAAGATGCCGAGGATGAGATTCACATATCTCTGGCACCATATATACAAACATATCTAGCGCATAGTAACCAGGGATTGGGATGCTGCGGTATCAGTTTACCTGTGCCATTTGAACGTGCAGCACCACGGTCCTGGTGGAATCCCAGATTTGATTCGGAAATCCTTGAGGAACAGTTTAAGAGAAGTGCCTTTCCTCAAATTAGATTAAGATTTCGGTTTGTATTAATACAATTTATATAACATGTAAAATTATATATACATGATTGGGAATATTATTATTGGACCAATCATTAATTCTTTGATTATAATGAAAAATAATTTGAATATTTCTGATTAATCATTATTTTTTATAGGTACGCTCTCACATATATCTTGCTAGTGTCTTTATCATGGTTAACGTATTTTGTGATAATTGGATTAGGAAACGATACATCGACGTGGGCAGTGATAGCAGGTGTTTTCGGTATTGTTGGCGTTATGGTTTCGGCAGTCCTTTATTTAACACATACAGACTATTACAAATGCTATGTATTACCAATTTCCTTGGGAGTTGCAACAACGCTCTGTTTCCTATCTTTACTCTTCCTTGCCTTAGTACCACCTTACGTGGATGGACTGACTCTGGTCGGACACTTTGCCTTATGCTCCGAGATCTTATTAGTCATTTATACAGTGCTGCCGATGCCACTCTATGCCTGCGTAGGGATATCCACACTGTACTCCTTCATGTTTGAGTTCCTGACTGCCTATTTGTATGGCTCGAAGGACGCGCGACACAGATTTTACACGAGTGAACGAATTGTACAAAATAATACTTCAGGAATTAATACGACGACAGAAGAGGAAGGGAGAACGTTGGTACTTACACACTCGTCTCTAAATGATCCTCTAAGTGTTGCTGGTCTACAGAATGTGATACGTAATTTTAGTGATTTTACTACAGCAATTAGTACAGAGGCGATGTCGAGATTGCGTGAACCCAGAGATACAGCGGAACCGAGATACTCAGAAACGGTGGCTCAACATTTATATGATGCTTTAAGTAACACGGATGTCTTAACGAGATTAAATTCTAGCATCCCAACCGTGATGACGATTACTAATTCCACCGTAAATTTATCGCCTGTAAATAATTACGTTAACAATAACTTATTCATCGATGATATTGATTTCTCTACGAATCTCGCAATAAGGATCTTGATGCAGATTTGTATTCACTTGATAGGAGTGCATATTTTGATAATGACCTTTGTGAGAATGCGTGGTACGTTTATGAAGGTCGGCCAATCCTTGTTGGTCCGTCGACAATTAGAAATGGAAAAGCAACTGAAGGAGAAAATGATACACTCTGTTATGCCGCCAAAGGTTGCGGATTGGCTTATGGAGGAGAGCGAGCGCGAGAGAGAGCGAGAGGACTCTTTAAAAAAAGGCTCGATACCGTCTAATAATACGGACATTCGTTCATTGTTTCGTCCGTTCAATATGCATTCAATGGAGGACGTCAGTATTCTATTTGC